ATTTAAAAACGGACATCGATCCAGAGACATTACGAAGCACTTTCACAAAGACTATTATGTCGAAACGCGTTAGAGCGGTTGCCCATTCGAGATCTTCATTTTACCTATATATTTTTTATATATATTTTTTATAGTTTAATAAAAGTTTTTTTCTGGTTACTTTCTACCTACCTTTTATTTTTTGCTTTCTGGCAATCCAAAGGGGAGATTCAGTATCCAGTGGAATATCCATATATCTGGTTCCAGCACTTGATCTCAGCAGCCATATTTATTGCAAGGCGCTGAAAGTCTGAGCCCGCTATAATAGGCTCAGCAATATGTGAGTGAGACCACTTTGTTTTAATCTGTTTTAAATATTGTTTAGACAGATTTCACTATGGTCTATTATTCTCAGTTTTTTTAAGTTTCATCCTACTTATAGTAAAATTGCATGTGTGTGTCATTTTAGATACATTTTAAGTGTGCTCTCACCAATTTTTTATTTTTATTCCCCTGTACGGTGTGCTCGCTGTATGCCTGGAAAACGAATAGATTACAATTTATTATAACATTCTCCACAATTTCTCCAAGCCAGTTCTGTTTACAGTTTGGCTACCTTAGCCTTGAATTCCCGAGTCGCACTTTAGTGAGTAACTTTTTGTGATGGTTTATAATCACTTAACGATTTGTGGGTAATGTAATGCAAATGAAAAACGTTAATATATGGCTGCATCATTTAAAAAAATATTTAAAAAACACTGAAATTAAAAAATATTTTATCATGGGAAATATGCACAAACCTGGTCACTGTCAAGAATGGCCAACACTGGGCTGGCCAAACTTAAAGAAACAGCCAAAAAAATAAACACATTAAAACACACATTGAAGTATAATAAATATAATATAAATATAACAAAATAATGATGATCTGTAATAAGCGTCTGTTTGGTGAAGAGTAAATGTATTTGTGGGTTGGGAACCGATGTATGTACGTAGCGGGGAATGTGGTGCGACTAAGAGTAAAGAGACTACCCCACTTATCCCCCCAATAACGACAGACAACGAATATTGGATGAAATAGGCCCCAGCATTTATTAAACTTACAGCTGGAGGACTCATCCGAACTTTACTCTTTTTCTTTAATTCAAATATAAACAGATAAATATATATACATACCATAATTAACATATAAATTACACTTATTGCCCTACAGCCTTCAACTTAAATAACCGTCCTTGCCAACGATCTTAACCAGGTGCCTATGCACCAAAACTTTACCCACTGGTGTCTCGCCTCCCCCCTCGTCCAAACCAAAAATTCCCATCATCTTAAATGCTCTACCACCAGCCGGCTCTTAGTTCGGTGGGCACGCCTTATTCGGTAACTTACCTTACAGAGCAGGGGAGGGTGAGACCCACCATGTCCATCTCCTGACATTCCATCTGCTCCCCAACCCTGCTGGCAAGGACACGCTCCCCGCTAGCTGTGACGAAACAAAAAACAGAAAATTAGGGGAGGTGGGAGGGGAGGTGTTTGCTGGCCAGAATCCAAACAGGCACTGAGGTAAGGTGATCCCTGCCCCCCTACAAACACATAACCACTCCCCTAAATACATATAACCACGCCCATATACACATACAGCCACGCCCATATACACATACAGCCACGCCCCTAAACACATACAGCCACGCCCACATACACATAAAGCCACGCCCCTATACACATAAAGCCACGCCCATATACACATACAGCCACACCCCTATACACATAAAGCCACGCCCATATACACATACAGCCACGCCCATATACACATACAGCCACGCCCATATACACATACAGCCATGCCCCTATACACATACAGCCACACCCATATACACATACAGCCACGCCCATATACACATACAGCCAATCACAAGCATCCTTTCCCACACTCCTACATGTGCCCTTGTCCGTTTAGCTGGGCCTGGACTCAGCGGTGGATTCAGCGGTGTGTGGCGAAGTATGAATGTAATCATTGGAAAAGCTCAGCCGAGATATTTAAAAATGTCCAAATTCAGGCTAAAATAGATACGACTATATCAGGGGGTTATTTACTAAGGTTGGAATTCAAGGAGAATTTCACTTTTAAGATTTAAATAGCCCAACTGGAAACATTCTCTTAGTTGGCGATGGTGTGAGTTCGGCCTTTCATTTGATTTCACTAATAGCCCTGTCTGAGCTCTAAAACTTGCTACACTTTCAGTTAGCGCTTGATGACTATTTGATACATGATATTCTATAACTGCTAAATAATAGGATATTCTCCGCCAGGACCTCCCTCATATTATCGAAAACTGTTCTCAATCACTGAACTTGTTCTTATGCTGAAGTACATTTCTTTATTAATGAAGCGGTTGTCCCGTTTATGTTGTGATATAATTCCCTTCATGTTTTCGGAGTTCACACATAAACGCCGTATTACCTTATGGCCCTTCTCTCAGAGAGTTCACTAGTGCTCAGTGAGACTGTTCATTCATTCATTCATTCATTGTTTTAATCACGGCTCATTACGTACAATTCGACTGATGGCTGAGCATGAGTTGGCCATAGCCGTCATTCAAGGTACAGGCCCTGGGGAGATAGCGCAGCTAAGCAGACAAGGGCACATGTAGGAGTGTGGGGATAGATGCATGGGATTGGATGGGAAAGAGTGTGTGGGTGGGATTATGTTCTGTGTAAGTTAGTGTGGGGGTGGTCTTACCTCGGTGCCACTTGGGATTCGGGCCAGCAAACAGCTTCCCTCCCGCCCGCCCTATTGGTATATTTCGTCACAGCTAGCCAGGGGTATGTCCTTGCCAATTGAGTTTGAGTGGTTACGTTTAAGTATATGGAATGAGATGAACAAGTTTTTTTAGGTCTCAACCTCCCCTGCTTCAAAAGGTTAAACATTAGGTTGCCTGAGGTGTCGTGCCCATCGAGCGTGGATAAGGTCGGCTGATGGCGGGCATTGGAAATATATGATTTTTTATGACGGGGGGGAGGTGAGAGGAAGTGGTGATTAGGAACCACTGTATGTTTATTGGCAAGGACGGTTGGGTCACTGTATAACACTATGTGTGGAGTTATATATGTATATAGGTTAATTTATGCTTATTTATGTCTAACGTTTTGGTTACAGAAAGAAGAGATTTAATAAATAAAGTTATGGATGTGTTATGCAGTAATTTAGTTTGTGATAATAAATGCTGTGGCCTGTTTCATCCATACTAAGTGGTCTGTCATTATTGGGGGGGTAAATGGGTTTAGATTTGTGCTAGGCTGCATCGCGATTCCCCACTATGTACATACAAGGAAATCTGCTATCGCGACCTATCTTGTTATACAGTCCTGTTATTGTAGCAGCACAACAACTACAGACAATATAATAACAATCACATAAAAAGTACAGACCTATCTCTGATTCCAGACCTATGTCTGAAAACATTTTTACCCTGAAGATTCTCACAGGAACATCCTTGGTGGGGATTATACCACCTAAGCCTTATAGGATTAAGGAATACCTGGATTTGCACTCTGCTTGTGAGTATATTTTATTCTCTGTTTTTATTCCGTTCATCACATACAGTGGGCACTATAGTCTGCTTTTATCTTCCCCCTTATACTGAGGACATCTGAACCCCCACCAGCGGGACAACAATCCATAGCCTGGGACCAATACCTATTAAAGGACCACTATAGTGCCAGGAAAACAAGAGCTGCGCGCGCATTCAGCCGGTCGCATAGGAAAGCATTTACAATGCTTTCCTATGGACGCTGGCGTGCTCTCACTGTGAAAATCACAGTGAGAAGCACGCAAGCGCCTCTAGTGGCTGTCAATGAGACAGCCACTAGAGGCTTTGGGGGAAGGCTTAACCCATTCACAAACATAACAATTTCTCTGAAACTGCTATGTTTATAAAAAAATGGGTTAACCCTAGAAGGACCAGGCACCCAGACCACTTCATTAAGCTGAAGTGGTCTGGGTGCCTAGAGTGGTCCTTTAAGAAGCACCAGGATCTACGATTATCCACAGACTGGGATTGTTCCATCCATGAGCATCAATCTGGAGCTGAACATTAGCTCCAGAAAATTGTAAGTGTATTTCTGTTTTTAATATTCCACCAGGATTCATAATATACTACACAATATTAAGTTTTTCTACTTATTTCATATAACACCGGATTTGAGAACAATTCTACAGGCGCTGTCTCCCCGCACCCTTTTTTGCATACTAACAAGCACTGTCTGAGCCTGTCCTGATAACGTGCAGTCAGATCCCCTACATTAGATATAAACCCAGCGCTGTCTGAGCCTGTCCCGATAACGTGCAGTTAGATCCCCTACATTAGATATAAACCCAGCGCTGTCTGAGCCTGTCCTGATAACGTGCAGTCAGATCGCCTACATTAGATATAAACCCAGCACTGTCTGAGCCTGTCCTGATAACGTGCGGTCAGATCCCCTACATTAGATATACACCCAGTGCTGTCTGAGCCTGTCCTGATAACGTGCGGTCAGATCCCCTACATTAGATATAAACCCAGCGCTGTCTGAGCCTGTCCTGATAACGTGCTGTCATTACATTAGATATAAACCCAGCACTATCTGAGCCTGTCCTGATAACGTGCGGTCAGATCCCCTACATTAGATATAAACCCAGCGCTGTCTGAGCCTGTCCTGATAACGTGCGGTCAGATCCCCTACATTAGATATAAACCCAGCGCTGTCTGAGCCTGTCCTGATAACGCGCAGTCAGATCCCCTACATTAGATATAAACCCAGCGCTGTCTGAGCCTGTCCTGATAATGTGCGATCAGATCCCCTACATTAGATATAAACCCAGCGCTTTCTGAGCCTGTCCTGATAACGTCAGATCCCCTACATTAGATATAAACCCAGCGCTGTCTGAGCCTGTCCCGATAACGTGCAGACAGATCCCCTACATTAGATATGCAATCCAGCGCCATTCGAGCTCGAAGTCCTGATAACGCGCAGTCAGATCCCCTACATTAGATATAAACCCAGCGCTGTCTGAGCCTGTCCTGATAACGTGCGGTCAGATCCCCTACATTAGATATAAACCCAGCGCTGTCTGAGCCTGTCCTGATAACGCGCGGTCAGATCCCCTACATTAGATATAAACCCAGCGCTGTCTGAGCCTGTCCTGATAACGTGCGGTCAGATCCCCTACATTAGATATAAACCCAGCGCTGTCTGAGCCTGTCCTGATAACGTGCGGTCAGATCCCCTACATTAGATATAAACCTAGCGCTGTCTGAGCCTGTCCTGATAACGTGCGGTCAGATCCCCTACATTAGATATAAACCCAGCGCTGTCTGAGCCTGTCCTGATAACGCAGTCAGATCCCCTGCTATTGATGTATATAAACCCAGCGCTGTTCGAGTTCATCCTGATGACGCAGAAGTCAGATCCCCTACATTAGATATAAAACTCCAGCTGTTTTAGTCCAAAGTTTGTTTCAGGGTGAGAATCGGTAATGAAAGGCTGTGTTTGTGTTAGGTAACGTTTTTCACTGTGGAAAAGTCCTCTCATAACCCTCTGTCAAGGCCGGAAAGCGAATAGGGAGGGGGAGCATGACTGCTGCCCTAGGGAGCATGGCAGTGTCTTTCTCCAGTAGACCTGTAAAAATTACTTTTACAAATTGAGTTTCTCCCAGAGGGAGCATGGCAGTGTCTTTTCTCCAGTAGACCCTGTAAAAATTACTTTATTAAATTGAGTTTCCCTCCCAGAGGGAGCCTGGCAGTGTCTTTCCTCCTGCAGTCCTGTAAAAATGACTTTATTAAATTGAGTTTCCCTCCCCGAGGGAGCCGGGCAGTGTCTTTCCTCCGGTAGTTCCTGTAGAAATTACTTGATGAAATTGAGTTTCCCTCCCCGAGGGAGCCTGGCAGTGTCTTTCCTCTGGTAGTGCCTGTAAAAATTACTTTATTAAATTGAGTTTCCCTCCCTGAGGGAGCCTGGCAGTGTCTTTCCTCCGGTAGTCCATGTAAAAATTACTTTATTAAATTGAGTTTCCCTCCCCGAGGGAGCCTGGCAGTGTCTTTCCTCCGGTAATCCATGTAAAAATTACTTTATTAAATTGAGTTTCCCTCCCCGAGGGAGCCTGGCAGTGTCTTTCCTCCGGTAGTCCTGTAATAATTACTTTATTAAATTCAGTTTCCCTCCCCGAGGGAGCCTGGCAGTGTCTTTCCTCCGGTAGTCCCTGTAAAAATAACTTTTTTAAATTGAGTTTCCCTCCCCGAGGGAGCCGGGCAGTGTCTTTCCTCTGGTAGTCCCTGTAAAAATAACTTTATTAAATTGAGTTTCCCTCCCTGAGAGAGCCTGGCAGTGTCTTTCCTCTGGTAGTCCCTGTAAAAATAACTTTTTTAAATTGAGTTTCCCTCCACGAGGGAGCCGGGCAGTGTCCTTCCTCCGGTAGTCCCTGTAAAAATTACTTTATTAAATTGAGTTTCCCTCCCCGAGGGAGCCTGGCAGTGTCTTTCCTCCGGTAGACCATGTAAAAATTACTTTATTAAATTGAGTTTCCCTCCCCGAGGGAGCCGGGCAGTGTTTTTTCTCCGGTAGTCCATGTAAAAATTACTTTATTAAATTAAGTTTCCCTCCCTGAGGGAGCCTGGCAGTGTTTTTTCTCCGGTAGTCCATGTAAAAATTACTTTATTAAATTGAGTTTCCCTCTCTGAGGGAGCCTGGCAGTGTCTTTCCTCCTGTAGTCCATGTAGAAATTACTTCATTAAATTGAGTTTCCCTCTCTGAGTGAGCTTGGCAGAGTCTTTCCTCCGGTAGTCCATGTAAAAATTACTTTATTAAAATGAGTTTCCCTCCCTGAGGTAGCCAGTCACTGTCTTTTCTCCGGTAGTCCCTGTAAAAATTACTTTATTAAATTGAGTTTCCCTCCCTGAGGTAGCCAGTCACTGTCTTTTCTCCGGTAGTCCCTGTAAATATTACTTTATTAAATTGAGTTTCCCTCCCTGAGGTAGCCAGTCACTGTCTTTTCTCCGGTAGTCCCTGTAAAAATTACTTTATTAAATTGAGTTTCCCTCCCCGAGGGAGCCCGGTAGTGTCTGAATAATAATGAATAATGACAAGTTTGGTAAATGAACAATGCCTGGACGGGCTTGGAGAGTCGCAGCCTGAATTTGGTTGATGACAAAGGACAGGCTGAAGAAACTCTGGAATAAGTTCAAAGTGTACCTGTCTGCTGGGTCAAACCAGCCACTGACAGTATTTGGTTATACTTGTTTAAATAAAGCTGTGGCCGTTGCCCACTGAACAAGGTGTTGTGTGACTTATTGGGAATGGAAGGGGAACGGGATTTGGTGATGGAAGGAGTCAGCAGTCATGGTTAGATTGGGTTTTCAGTTCCTCTAAATATGTCTCTGAGCGTAAAATAACGAACATAACATGAAAAACGGGGCTGAAAATAGAGCTAATATCTGGTACACTAATGGATGGGGGGTAACCCCAAATGAAAACTGGTAGACAAACAAAGGATGTGTACCAAGAGGGACTGGGATGAATAAGAAGTACTATTATGAAGGTAACAGATCACTGCAGAATGTCATAAGACAAGGGGCAATGTGAAAAATTTAAAAAGAAAATAAATACATTTTATTGGATAATATAGTGTAGATAATGTGCTCGTGTACAACGTGGATGAAGTGATATGTAAAAGGAAGTTGGACCAATACCGTTAGTGTTAATCTCACTACTGGAGACAGGGATCAAAATGTAACTAGCCTAGGGAAATAAGCACACCAGCAGCCTGGCTAGGTAGGTAGAAATAGTAGCGATAGCAAATCCTAATTAATGGATTGGTAAGGGTTAAACAGCCACATATCCTGCAATGGGGTCACACGCAGAAGCGGAGTAAGCCCAATATAGGTATAGTTATGCACACGTCTGGTGCACCATGGAAATGAGGGAACAGTAAATATACAGAGGAGGGGAAGGAAGGGGAAAAAGGGGAGAGCTAGACCGAAATCCGGTAAAAGTTAAATAACCTCGTGGCTGTCTATATGAAGAGCTGCTATGATAGCTAAATCGATGAATAGATGAATGGACTGCCGTAATCTATTGAGATCAGTAAAAAGTCTCCCACCAATAAATTCTGTGTGCTAAAATCCTTCCCTCCCGTGCCTTCAAGGGCACCTACTGCTAGCCCCACTAGAGAATTGATCCCTACAAGGATATGATACACTCACTAAATGATTAACTAATTGGATATTAAAAACATTTGCGCGGTGGCAAGTCCATGTGCTAGTGTAAGTTCATAGAAAGTAGCACTGCATGGACCCCTAACTAACATTACATAACTTTAACGCACTATCTGCACCGACCAGCGTTGGGTCTATAAACATTCCCCTATGTGATAAAATGGTCCCTAATTTATTACTGCGAGTTATGCCAACAGACACTGTGATAACGTGTAATAACCTCTATATCACATACATCCTGTGTCAAAACATTGGTTTAATTGCACTCATTGAAATTTAGAAAATAAATTCTATTGTGTTCTATCCTTCTTTACTTTTGTCATTATATTTCTGTTGCGCCGTATTAAATCTAATCTGTACCCCGTGTGATGGAAGGATGTTAGCGTTTTAGCGAATGTGTAAAAAACTGGTGAGGAAATTCTGAAAAATTATTATTTTATTTATTTTTTTATCCAAACTTGCTTCATCTCTTGATGTGATGTGATACCTGGCTGGAGGTTGAACTCAGCAGTACTGATTCTCCGCTGGGTTACCTCCCTCTAAATATGTCAGTAAATTCTCGTCCTGGCGGAAGAGAGTGCCAACTCAAGCCATGTTTAATGTATTCACCTAGCTGAGTGACATCGGTCTGTGTTTGAACTGCCAAACCTTGCATGGGAACCCCGGGGCTTGTAATGCCTAAATCCTCCTATGTAACAGGGCACTAGAGAGAAGTTCTGTGTCCAACAATGCATATTTTAATGAAGATAAGTAAGTGTTGCAAAAAACAAAACAAAACTTGCATTTATTAAAATGTACACAGCTCTAAAATCTTACCATATAGGGCTCCTGCCAGCACCATGCCCACTTAGTGATATGAAGTGGTCATGGTTCCTGGAGTCAGTATATGCAGCGTTTTGCTATATAGGTCCCACTGCATATATAAAATATTATTTTTTACTTTGACTGGGGGGTGGGGGTGCCAACACAGCAATGGTTTCTATAACCAAAGGCAGTGTTTTCTTGGTTGTAGTAACCCTTTAAATTAGCTGCAGAACTGCACTCTGCAGCTATTGAAGACCCGCCTCCTTCTTGCCAAGCTCTTACTGCCTTGTTAGAGCAGGGCATTGACCAATCAGAAGCTTTTATTGAGATTTTGTTTGTGTAAAATATGAATACTTCATAAGTCTATATTTATTGTGAAGCCTTAAATATTCATTTTTATGCAAGCTGGATGCTTTTTCCAAATCACCTATTTGCCTTAATTTTGCCATTTGCATTTAAGTCACTAAGATCCAGCATTGACTGAATAACCCAGTATGTGTCCGTTAAAATGGTGACTTCCTGCATACAGTTATTGGGACTATAATTCTTATCTGGCTCAGTCAGCTACTGGCTGAGCCTAATAAGAAATATAGTCCCAATAACTGTACGGACAAGATTGACTTTAGTTGATTGGAGTTATAGCCTACCTACGCTGTTTAGCGATTGGATCCTTAACTGTCCAACTACATGACCAGTACATTTTACATCGGCCTCACTTGGAATCTCACTCTACATGATAGGTGTTGTTGGCCAGGGGGAGCCTGGGATTTTATGATCTTCTCCTGCAGCCCGCATTCTGAATGGATAGACACCCATGTGGGATGTCAGACTGCTTTGATATTCCCTGAAAAGGGGCCTCGCTGGTGTGTGCTATCCGAGGAGATGAGGTCAGTAGCCAGGAAAGGGTATATCATTGCTCTGTGCTGTAGCTGCATAAATCGATCAGTGCTGCCACTGCTGGCTGTGTGACGGTCACAGAAACAAACTGCGCACACTGTGCACGCCGTCTGGGGCTAGCGTGCTGTGGCACAAAACTTTTTAAAAAGTGATATTTGCAGCCTGATTGACAGCACAGACAGAAAAAAAAAAAGAAATATATATTTATCCACAGAGTTATTTTTTTTATTTAAAAAAAAAAAGAAAGGCTGCAGGCAGAATGTATTTCCACCATAACAACAGTAATATGAAGTGTTGATAGTTTTTAGAGCGAACCCTTTAACCAATATACGACTAATTCTGACAGCTGGAGGAATTGCATCACCATATTATATTTTTTAGCAGCCAATCATAA